AATGGTTTAAAGTGCTTTATTTTTTGTATATATATTTTTTACCTTAGCGTTTACACTGTTGAGGCTTATCAGTAAATTTTTGTTAGTTTTTAAAGTAAGTTTTTTTGGATCTGTTTATGTTTTAATGTTTACCAGTTTTGATATTACTCTGTTTTGTTTGGAAAGAATCTGCTTTCATTATTAACATTGTAAAATGTAAAGTGTAATACAAAATGTATATGCTCTAAACTTAAGTAGGAATTTTTTTAAAGAGTAAGTTATTTATGTAGCTTATTAAGAGGTTCAGGTTAGTGACCATAAAAGTAGGTTACATGTACATGAAAGCTTTAAATGCTACAGTGTAAAGTTCTTGTAGTGTCATTTTTTTCTGACTTATGCCAGTGCATTTACTGACAGATGTTATTGTTTATACTAAAGTAAGATATTTGAATATTTTTAAGTACTTATTAAGAATTTTAATACTCTACAAAAATTTTTAAATACCTTCTATTCAGATGTATAGCAGAGATAATTGGTTTCATTTCAGTGTATGATTGTATCTTTAGGTTGGTGGGAGTAATTATCTAAGGAAATTTATGGAGAAAATTAGTAAGTGATAAAACCCTCAACAGTTTATTCTCGCCAAGTTAAGTTTTGTGATGATGCATCAAGGGACAGTTTATCAGAATAATAAGGTAATAAGGCTCTGGCACAAAGTAAAGGTATCTTGGAGGAGGGCCCTAATGCTGTGTTTGGAATATCACAGTTATCTTGCATCTCAGTATTTTCATTTCCCTTCATCCTTTCACAATTGCCCCTGTTGTGGTGCAGTCTAATCTAGTAAGAAACTTCTGGCTGTGGTTACCTTGATGGGAACCATATTGTAGCAAGTCTCTATTAGATTTTTTTAATACCTGGTTTGTAACATACTTTCCCTATTCTTTTTAGTTTGAGTCTGCATTACTAATGAATTTTAATAATAATATTCCACAATTTTAAGCTTACAAAAGTGAAACAAAAAAATCATGGTGATGAGTGATTACTCTCCCCCCACAAAAAAGTATTAGTTGAACTTCTCTCAACACCACCAAGGCAGAGGGAATCTTAGCATGTGTTTCTTGCTTCCTTCAAACATGTCTAGAATGTTTTTTTCCACCCTACTACCTCCAAAAGAGGCAGTTGAGAAAGTGTTCGGTGGTGACTTCTGTTAAATGCCATTCCTACCTTTATTGTGTGTGTATGTGTGTACTTTGCTTTAAATCTTTGTAGCGTATACTGTGGTCATGGAACTTAATCTCTCTGATGTTAGAAATTTATTTTACAAAATTGTGCTAAGACATTTGGAAAAAAAATGAAACTGTGGTAAAAACCAAGTTAGTTTCAAAAAAGTTTAGACATTATTTGGCAGTCATATTAATATTTTCCTTAAAAACTGCAATAATTTATATATTTGTATTGCTCTGCTTTGGAACTGTAACTATATATGCTTGTCTACTATTTTTAATTTTACAATAATAAAATAAATATTTTGTTATCTGCTAGCTTCAGTGGATGTTTTTTTAAGAATACCTGTATTTTTTTAAACGGTTGGCCTATATAAAGGGTTTTGTTTTGCAGGCTTAGGGAGTCTATACTTAGAATTATCTTGTCTGACAGTTTTCTTAACTGGCAATTTTTAAGCTTAATTTCTTGTGAGAATCTTACCTAATCTTTGATGCTGAAATTAACATTCTGTCTGTCCTAAGAGTCCGAAAGTGGGAAATAAGATTCCTGTGATATACTAGCTGTGTGTGCAGTTTTTTAAATTGGGGTGTAAGTTACACACAATAACTAGGTTTTAAGTGTGTTGAGTTTTAACAAATGTGTACAGCTATGTAGCCATCGCTGCCTTTGGCTCACTTTCCAATCACGTCACTTCCCATGTTCCTTCCACCCACTGTTTTGACCCCTGTCACCATCCTTTTCATTTGCCTGCTTTAGCACTTAATATAAATGCAATCATACAGCATGTACTCATTTGCCTCTGGCTTTTTTCACTTAACTCAATGTTTCTGAATTTCATTCATGTTAGCTCAAAGGTCAATAATAGTTTATGCCCCTTTTTTGCAGACTA